TCGAGTTGACGGAGGAGGGCTTCAATGATTTCGTCCTTGGGGTCCTTCGGGGCAACCCCTTGGGAGTTGGCCCGGAAGGATTGCGCCTGATTGATCTGGTGCCTGGCGTCATCGGCATGGAGGAGGGCTTTGCCTTTGCTTCGTGGGGGAGGCACGCCCTCGGCGCCCGAAGCAGAGGCTCCACTCTCCTGGGGCCTGCTGAATGCCTGTTTCCCGAGGCGGTCTTGGACCCCTCGGTGCCCGGGAGCTCCCCCAAGCCTCTCAAGTACAGAGGTTCGGGGTTTCTCTTTCATCATGGGGCGCTTGTCCCTGGATTGGGCCTCTTGGGAGGCGGTATCCTGCGCCATGACCCCCTCGGCGTTTCCAATCCCCGGGGGAGGATTGTTGAACAGAGGGGGGAGCGGTGGCAATTGAATAACATTTCCTCCAGCGTAGGGCTGGAGGGGTGTCTGAGAGGCGAGGGCTCCGGAATTGAGAGCCATGTTTTGAACAAAGGCCGCAAAGGCAGCCTGAAGATCGATGGCCGGGGCCGGAGGGGGAACTTGGTTCTCACTCCGATCCCTCCTTCGATTATCAAGGCCAATGCGGGCATCAGGGGCGTTCTTCTGTAGTTGCTGACGGAGGTCAGCAGTAGCCTGCTCCAACTCGAGGATGATACCACCCTCGGGTACCAAGAGCCTGTTGGAGGCCTCAGCCCCGTTGGTTTCGCCGGGGGCTATGTGGTTCTCCTCAAGGGTTTTGGACTGGGCACGGGTGGTCCTTCCCATTTTTGGTAAGTATTTTGTGTTTGGTAGAGGGGGAGGGTTTCTTACTTGATTGTTCTGACCTCTCAACGAGAGCACCAAAATGATGGATGGTCTACCCGGGGGGTATCTTATCCGAGGGGTTATTACGGGAATAACTTAGAGAGAAGTCAGAGCAAATAGGAGGAGAGAGAGTCAATCTTATTAAATGAACTCGAGATATCGAATGGTGCGTAGATGTTGTTTATTACAAGGAGAAATGGGCCGCTATTTATAGCAGCAATAAATGCGATGAGAGTACACGTGTCAGTAATCCGACGGCCGAGGGGTCACATCAGCCGGGTGGCACCGGCAGTGGTACGTTCACTGCATTGAATGCGGTTGGCGGATGTGACGTGGCATTAAATGCGGTGGTTGGCTGTCTCCAAAAGGAATCTTCGATGATTGAGCATGGTTGGCCGAAGGTTCCTGGTGTAGCCGAGGGCTCCATGTGACCAAGGACCCCTGTGCGGCCGAAAGCCTTGTGTGGCCGGAGGCTTGGTTCAGCCGAAGGCTTCCCCTGGTGCCGAGGGCTCCACAGTGCCGAAGGCTCCCGTTTTCTGTCACTTCCTCCCAGCAGCTTCTTATGCCAGAAAGGCCATCCTGTGAGGTCTGGAGCCTTCGGCCAGGGAGGCCGAAGGCACCCCAGTATGTATTCTGGGCTATTTTGAGGCTTGGGCCGTCACAATTGGGCCTGAGTTGTTCTCTGGGCTCAACGAACTTGTGTGGGAGAAGCAGGAGTCTATGGGCCGGGGGTTCCTGGGCCATATACTCCATCATAGACATTGTGGGATATATTCCGTTCCAACTCAGCAAGAGGCTTCGTATAAACATTTTCGTTGGAGCATCAAATTTAACTTCAATGTCTATTTGTCTTATGTGGCAATGCAATTTTAAGTAATCTATCTTATCATTAAAGATGCTCTTAGTTTCTGCATCATTAAATTGTTACAACATCATTCTCATGTGAGCAAGGAAACATTATCTTATTATTATTACTATAGTTATTACTACTATTATTCAATTCTCAAAAAAAAAAAAAAACTCCCTCCGTCCCAGATACATCTTGACGTTTGCTTTATAGATAGTATACGGTATTTTAGGAGATCAATTAATTGAACAACAAATGTCATTTATAACCTTTTCCCGAGCAGCGGACGAAATCCTCCTAAATACAACGGCGTCCTTTACCCCATGTACAGTTGCGTTCTTTGTTGGCTTGATGAACAAACCTCCATTCCTCCAAGATATTTCCGTCCCTCCATTATATATACTTATTTTCTTGATCTTTAATAAGCTTTCGAGTTATCTAAATTTTGTGGTAAACATGATTGCCGCCTGAAGAGTACTACGAGTACGTTGTCGGCGGCAGTGGCACCGCCGAATTCCCACTGGCAGGGGCTCTGTCGGAGTCTCAGAGAGCCAGGGCATCTCACAGTCATCATAGAGTTCGATGCCTTTGATTCCCCTGTCTAGGCCTTCACTTCGGAGAAGGCGTTTCCTTTTCTTGGCGGCAGCAAGAATCGGAAGATGAAGACTTCTATCTTGGGTCAGGTGTATGAATGGCCGGAATGGGGCGAGAGACACATCTGGCCGGAGCTGCTTGCAGAGGGTGTTGAGGTAGTGAGTGGGTAATGAATGTTGTTCAATTAAATACAGAGTATAAAATGTGAAGGGATAGTGAAGGGTAATTAGGAGAATCAAGATAAAAAGAGTTGCTAAAAAGGGAATCGTAAAGAAATAAATGGGACGATCCAAAAAGGAAAGTGTAAAGATTTAAATGAGAGGAAGGAAGTAGTTATTATTATTCATATTATGCTTTTAAACAACTTTTTAATGATTTATCTCCTTTTACAATTATTCCTATTATGCTTTAGGCAACTTTTCAATTAGCATTTTTTTTCCATAAAAAAAATAGCAATGTTTTTGAGAAAAAAAATATTTTCTATTATAATTAGGAATCTTGTAATAGCTCTATAAGGTTATGGGTATCATTCAAACACAAGTTAAGAGATGAATTAATTTGTGTAGTAGCTCTATAAGGTTGTGGGTATCATTCAAACACAAGTCAAGAGATGAATTAATTTGTGTGTCTTGACAAACTCGAGAGCAATTAGAGCCCGTTTGATGAATATGTTTTTTCAGATTATTAGTCTTATCAGCCATCTTTTTCATCAAATACAGAACTTTTGATTTCACGCGCTGAATGATTTAATAATCAAAATAAGGAAGATTGAAGTTACTTTTGTGCATGTTTTGGCAGAAGTTTTATAGAGATCAGGTTTATTTTAGCTAATTTTTCATATAATTTTTTCTTTATTTTATTAATGAAATATAGTTTAAATATATTTTATTCATAAATCATCAGAAAAATTCAACTCAATCAGAACTTCATAAATTTCAATCTTATCCACTCCTAATTTAGGTCATGCTTATTATGATTTGAAGGACCCTCCGTTCTGGATACTGTTTCTCGAGTCGCAAATAAGCCCTAATGCCTCCACACCTGAGAAATAGGATGGACCTTCATACAATATACTACGTATATAGCATTCATGTGATCAGTCCACAGTGTTCCTTCATATTGCTTGTAATTTTCATCACAATCTAGCTAGCAACGGAAGCATCAAACCATTATGAACTCATGTAATAGATAATCTCACTTTCCCAACCCTGGGATAACATTAGTTTTTCAAGAACTCGTTGTGTCCCAAAAAGAACTATGATACCCAGTACCCACATGATGATAATGATACTATAACCTGTTGAGATCTTATTTCTCAAACCTTGTACTGTTTCTCACCAAGTTTCTAGAAGAGCTGAAAGAGAACCCTCCATAATCTGCCTTTAACTCCTGCAATATTGTTTCTGACCATGCTTTTAGCAGATTTGACTCTAGAGTGGCTGCCCAATGAATTAGTATATCACCTATGTTGTCAGCGATGCCGCCCTTAAGTGAGGTTTCCATTTAGAACAGTTAAAGTCAACCTATATCAACATGTGATAGCTTATCACCGGCAGTGATTCAAAAGATAAAACCTTTTAGCCTCATGATGCTGAAAAAAACAAAGGTTTGTGCTTTCTTGTGAATCATCAAATTCTCTCGAGGGCAGCCCCTGAGCCAATCATATAGAAGGAAGAGGAAGATTCCCAGCTTCTCTGGAGCTTGTACGATTCTTCCAATGTAAAGCAGTAAGTGATCTCTTAAATGGCTGAGTAACCCCCCTGCACTATTCACATGCGAATAAAATGAAAAAACAAACATTACGAAGACCGAAACCAGAATGAAGAACTGAGGCGAGCAATGCATCTGTCTGCCCAATTCAATCAGATAGTCAAATGCCCCATTATAGCTCTAGTCCTGGACATGCTATCCCGTTCATTCAGAACAGCAAACTTCTGCCATCTTCTTGGAATTGATCTATTTAACTCTTTAGGACGAGCAGAAACTACACGCAGGAAATGATCTATTTAAGTGTTTAGGACGAGCTTTAATTTCATTTGAAAATAAGGAGGGCAAAACCATGTGCAAGCTAGACATATGGGGCCACTCAGCCATTCAGAAAAACATATGATCTGAAGTGTGGCCTTCTCCAGGGACATAAAATTAGGAATCACAAGGTATGTTTCCTTACAAATTGATATATTTTCCTGGGATATTACCATTCATCTTCCTCACACATGTGACAGGTCTTCTACTAGTTGAGCTATCACCATCGGTTCAATTTCACTGAACCATATAGGGAATGATGCTTAAAGACAATACCATGTGGTAATATCTCAGTCATACCAACCTCACAGCTAGCTGTTTGGTGGAGCCTTTCACCATCCATCATGAACCTATGGAATCTGGAGTTTTTCGATACACTACAACCACAAAAGTGAAATCACATGGTTTGGTTTTAATAATCTAGGGATTCAAACTAATTAGTAGGCTTTCTTGTAAAGACATAAGTGGTTTGGATATCCCCATGTGTTCAAGATTTATTGAATCATCCGGTAAAGAAGACCCTATCTGCTAAATATTCATTAACGCATGTAGGGAATGGTGTGTAGATACAGGCCATCTTATTGTACTAATTTGATTTTTTTGGGAAGATAAAACCAGTTGTTGACGTTTCTTATCTTGGAAGGCTGGCAGGATTTCCACGTAGATATCTTTCAGCCACTCACTCAATCAATCTCCCAGATCTATCTATATAAGCACTACTGAGTTTGGTATTCTCCCCAACTCATAATACCTTCTTCTTCACAAAACTCCTTAAAGAATTTATCTACATAGAGTTTTCCACAGCTAAAGAAACAAAGAAACATTCAACCATGGCTATTAGTATGACAAAAATTCTGCGTGCTACTAAACCCAGCCTCAGGAGGTCATCTTCAAGAACTCACAAAGAAAGTGAGGTTCCTAAGGGTCACTTTGCAGTTTATGTTGGTGAGGGTGAAAAGAAGCGTTTTGTCCTTCCGATATCATACTTGAATGACACTTTATTCCAAGATTTGCTCAGTCAAGCTGAGGAAGAGTTCGGATTTGATCATCCAATGGGAGGACTCACAATACCCTGTCCCGAGGCTACTTTCCTTGACATCATCTCTAGCTCGAATTGATTATCATCATAGAATACAGATAGAGATGACTTAGCGTAGTTTAGTCAACAATTCTTTTTGTGTATATGAGTTACCCTGTACAGTTGATATAGAGATTATACTATAATACTTTGGAGGTTTTTCTGATTTATCATGCTACTCACAACACAGTAACAGAAGTTAGTTCAGACAATAGATGAAGTACTCTCTTGTAATTCAAATTTTGAGGGAGGAATATATTCGTCAAAGATAAACTTGATTGATAAAACTTTTGCTAGTATATATTATATAATAATGCTGTTTAATCCTTTCCCATTTTCAAAGAAAAACTGTACACTTGTGTTGCTAAGCTATATATATAAATTTCGGACCTTACCTTAAATCACACATGGAGGGGACGTTTTAAGTCATGTCTGTGCTGCTTCTGTTACAGTAAATAAATGTCTTATGGAAAGTTATTCAGAAATCACATTTTCTCTCTCTCTATTTGTTAGGTACTCCCTCTACTTTAAGAAGGTTCGTTTGACATGGGAATTGGTATGAGGCACATTATCCATGCTAAAAAGGGCCTCAGAAAGTGTTCTTCAAGAACAAATAGAAAAAGTGAGGTTCTTGACATCATCCTCAGTTTGAATAGTAGGGCCTGAGAGACTCTACCAGCAGTTGAATTTTGTGGTTAAAATTTGCTATAATTACGATGCGTTCTCTTATTCAAATCTAAAGATATGTTTTATATTTTTATATCACTTCTTGATCAGAATAGGACACACAAGTTCTGAGAAACTGCATGCAAGTTCCTGTAATGTGGTTAAGGTTTTGAAATATGAATTTTCTTCTAATCATAACTGTTAAAATATTCACATGCTAGCATACAGCTTTTGTTGAACATAGTAAATTAAGCTCTATGTAATTATCACTTTATCCTGAGCTAATCTATTCATGATCAAACTATGATTAATTTGGTGCTCAGATTAAGGAAAGGTATGAAGATTTCTATGATTATCAAACTATGCATACACTGCAAGTCTGCAAGAGGGTGTGCACTTGTAATGTAGCATTGAGAATACTGAGAATTCCAATTATTCTTAAATGTGTGGTAATGTCTCAATCCACCCCCCTAAGAATGTTTGAACAATGAAGATTTTTCAATAGGATGAGTAAGAGTGTAAGTGGCTATGTGACAGTGTCCAAACCCTTACCCTCGGTGTATTGGGCTTCGCTCACTTTGTGTTGTTATCCTTAGTTTTAGCTATATGTAGGCCTTATACAATCTTTGAGCAGTGATTATAAGAATGAATATCTGATATTTCAAAGACCGGAAAATGTTTGTAGACACATTACTTTCACACTTTTCTAAAAGTAGACTATATATCCTTATCGCATACCTACCCTTATCACAATATATGGGCTTATATGTTAGATCTTTTGAAATAGAAAGAAGACGACCAGTGAATTTTGGGTAAAAACAAAATGACGTTAAACAAGTTATTGCAAATAATTCAGCGGGGGTACAGATGGAGGGTGGGAGATGCAACTATTGATGACTGGAAGGACCCGTGGCTACCGGGTGAGAATCCTTTGGTTAGAACAGAGGTATGGTAAGGTTTGGAGAACTTGAGGGTGGAGGGGCTGTTAGTTGTTTGTGGAATGAGGGAGGAAATGGATATTGTCTGACATCCTTCTGGAGGAAGATCAAGAGCTGGTCTATAGGATCCCTTTGAGCAACCGGAGGGTAACAGATAAGATGTATTGGGCGTGCGAGGCATCTGGAGTGTACTTGGTTAGGAGCTGTTATCGGGCTCTGGTGGGGGAGTTGGGTAATGCTGGTTGGATGGGATGGGCGTCTTTGGAACTTCCTCATCCCTCCAAAAGTTAAGTGCTTCTTCTGACAGCTTTGCGGGGGTTGTTTACCTACGAAAGATAAACTGAAAAAAAGGCAGGTGGATGTGATTCCTTCGTGTTGCTGGTGCGAAGATGAAAAGGAAACGGTTGAGCATCTTTTTTGCAGGAGTCGGCTTGCACGGGAAGTGTGGAACATATTTCACTGGAGAGAAATCTGGGTGTGAATGCCTAATTTTTAGTGTGGGTCGAATCTTTTTTCTCAGCTTCGAACGAGGAACAATGCAGCGGCCTAGTCAACGAAGCATCCTCTTTCCTAGCTAGCTAGAGACGTGCTCAGGAGATTGAGGATAAGCTGCAGTTTGGTGGAGGTGACCGTGATCTACTATGGAGGAAACCGATAGAGGGCGGTATAAAGATCAACACATATGCTGCTGTTAAACAAACGGGAGGAGGCTGCGCTGGGAGGCTATCCGGTGGCGAGGGAAATATCTACCGAGAGAGGCTGAAGAATTAAGCATATAAGGGAAGCGCTGAGTTGGGTTATGGCACGGGGATGGGATAACACTGAAAATGAGTCAGACGCTTCTCAGGTTATTTTAAGTATCCAGTGAAGGGCCGGAAATTCGAGTTTCAGTCTGCTAATTGAGGATATTAAAACTATGGTGGCTAGTTTTTCTTGTATTTATTTTAGTTATGTGAAATGATCAGCGAATTGCGTCGCTCATACTCTGGATATATACGAACCAAGAAGACTCAAAAAATATGTGTTGGTGGTGGCCCTGGTGGGGCCTTTTAGCTTCTAACAGAAACCTAAAGAATATTGAGTTTTTACATGCACTAAAACCATACAATGTGAAATCTCATGGTTTGTTTCCTAATAAAAAATCTAGGGATTAAACTAATTGGTAAGCGTTATTGTAAATATAAAGTAGTGGTTAGGATATCCCCAGCTGTTCAAGATTCAATGAAGCATGTGGGGGGTGATGTCTAAAGACAGACCATTTTGTTGTATTATTTTGGGTAGACAAAACCATTTGTTGATGTCTTGCAAGCTAGCAGCCCTTCCATGTGGCACTCAATCCTCCTCCCACCAGTGGATCTATATAACATCAATGTTATTAGGTATTTTCCCAACTCAATATTTCACCTTCAAACAACTCCTAAAAGTGTGTGCATCCGCAAATAGTTTCCTCTGGCTAAAAAAATCAAGAAACATTCAAGCATGGCGATTAGTATGGCGAAAATTCTGCGTGCTACTAAGCCAAGCCTCAGGAATTCTTCAAGAACAAACAGAGAGAGCAAGGTTCCTAAGGGTCACTTTGCAGTTTATGTTGGTGAGGGTGAAAAGAAGCGGTTTGTTCTTCCTATATCATACTTGAAGGACTCTTCATTCCAAGACTTGCTTAGTCAGGCTGAGGAAGAATTCGGATTTGATCATCCAATGGGAGGACTCACAATACCTTGTCCGGAGGCTACTTTTCTTGAAATCATTCAACCTAGCTCAAATTGATCTATAGAGAAGGCGGAAACACAGCTTAGAGTAGGCAACTAGTCATTAGCAAACAGATATTTTAGAAAGGAATACTTTCCTAGCACACAGTATTTTTAACAGATTCCCGTCTGTTTTTGGGCTGTTGCGATTAATATTAGTTTATTATTACTGTATAGTAAACTTCACAATTTAGTTACCATTTTGTGTAAATCTTTTCCTTTATCTGACACTGATAAACTACTAACCTGAAATCCAATACAATTACCCTACACAAAATTTGACTTTCCATGTAAAAGAATTTATATTTTTTGCACAGTAAATAATTAAATATGAGATTTCAAGCTTACCTGAAATATGATAGTAACACATATGGGACAAAGGGGAATTAGAATATGTCATTGGTTATTCTTTAAGCGTTTAAGTGTATTTATAATAAAAATGTTTTCTTTGAATTGCGGCACTGGGGTAATGATGATGATGATGATGATGAAGGAATTCAATTAAAACTTTTGGACATACCATGGTGAAGGAATAATTGTTATGAAGTTAACTAGTTATAAGTAAGTGCAAGTCTCCCCACCGAAGTCAAGCTAAAGAACTTGGATTGGATCATCAGATTGGTGGACTTACAATTCCTTGCCCCGAGTATACCTTCCTTGACATAATATCTAGTATGAGTAGAGATCTAGATAGACTACAGTACATATAATTTAGTTTTTAGTCCCCAAAACAAGTGTTCATGGATAGCTTTTTTTCCTTATTAGATTTAGAAATATATATTCATTGGTTATCATACTCTATGTATTCCTATCCTATTTTTCTTTGTTTATCTGATCATTTCAGTTTTAAGATTAGAACTAAGAAACTCTTGTAAAAATATAAATATGAACAGCAGGCAGAAAAGGGGACGATCATTTTAGGACAAGAAATTGTGTTCTTTTTCTAAATAATTCATCTTATGGTGGTATGGCACTAAGATGTAGTTCAGACTTCAGATTGTGTATGTGTATATATATTTCTAGAACTTGTCCTTCTTCATGGAAACACAAAGGCTGTGTTTGAAAGTTGAAATGTGAAAAACTTGAAGGAATGAGTACAAACAATATGCCAGATGAAAACAATTTGGTTTGGTTTTACCTTAAAATAAAAACTTATTACAATATGTTTTAAATATACATCAATTAATGAGTTTGAACTACTATCTTATGCTACATATGTCCTAACAAAGTTTTCTTTCCATGTCTTATTTCGGGTTCCAATCATAGCCAAAACATTCTGCACGTTCAAAAGAAAACAGGTCTTTATGCAAAAGTTGTAAGGGATGTATTATAGGTATACAGTGATGGAATATGTTCCATGCTAATTCTTGGTACCTGGCTATAAATAATGGTGGCAGAATATTACTTTCTAGTTACGTGAATAAAATTTGCAACAGTTTATTGGTTAAACAGATTTTCAAGGAGAATATGAAAGGTATGGATAAGTCATTACACCTATAGGAAGATTACTTAAGAAAATATGAATTTCAAGTATTAGATTTGTGCATATTTCCTTTGATGTAACTAGCTAAAGCTTCCTGACATCCGTAGTTGAAAATTGTGTACACCCCAGTCAAGATCATCCTTTATAGCAGCCTTAGTTTCTGCATCATTATATTGTTCTAACATCATACTTGAAGGGTCCTCCCTTCAGAGATTTGCTGAGCAATAAATAATGTGGGACTTGATCATCCAATCAGCCCTTGTTTTTGCATTTAAGCTGTATTTAGATCTCCATTAGCGATTAGCTAATTGCTCAATTGGGAATTTCTCCATACTCAATCTGGATTTTCTCCATCAGCAATTACAGTTCCGTCCTATTGTTCTTGATTCCACCGCTATCTCCTTGCAACAGAAACATCATGCTATCAAGAACCTTTGTAAAAGTTAATATCATTTTCCCTAGTTTGCGATAACATGAGTTTTTATGAGCTCCTTGTGTCCCAAAAAGTAAAATGATACCCACCTGAAGGTAAAAGTTTACAATGCAGAAAAGTACCTCCAGTTCTTTTTAGTAGTTTCACCAGACTCAACAGTAGGTGTGGCAAAGATGATAATGATACTATCATCTGTTGAGAGCTTATTTTCAGATCTTTACAGTTTCTTACCAAGTTCCTAGAAGAGCCGAAAGCGATCCTTCCATTACCAAATGTAGAAAACTGCCTTTACTCCTGCAATATTGTTCCTGACCATGTTTTTACCAAATTTGACTCTACATTGGCTGCCCAGTGAATGAATAAATCATCTATGTTGTCAGCTATGCCCCCATTATTGAGATTTTCATGAAGTCAGACCATATCTACATCGGATGGAGTATCACTGATATTGATCCAAAAGCTTGAATCTTTAAAAGTCTCCATGATGCCGAATGAAACAAAATTTCTAATTTCTTGTGAACTATCCAAGTCTCTTGAGGGCAGTCCCTGAGCCAATTATATGGAAGAAGAAAGAGGAAGATTCTCTGCTTTTCTTGAGCTTCTCTGCTTGATTCCCCACCACCCCCGAGTATAATTACAATCATCAAGCCTCATTTAATTAGATGAACTTCCTGCCTTCATGGACTCTTCACAGGGAATGCATTAATAGCTCTCTGAAATGACTTAATAACCCCCCTGCACTATTCAAATGCTAATAAAATGAAGACAAACATTATGAAGATGGACACCAGAATGAAGTAACTGAGACGAGCGATGCTTTTTTTCGGAAAAACTCGATCAGATAGCCAAATTCTCCATTATAGCTCTGGTCCTGGAAATGCTATCCTGTTCATTCAAAAGCAACAAACTTCTTCGAACTGATATGGTATTGAGCAAATCAGCAGGAACAACCGAACAATGCCCATATTTTGACTGGGCTGAATGACAGTGCTTGATGACCAGATTGCGGAAGGAAGTGATCTATTTAAGAGTTTAGGAGGCTAGGACAAACTTTAATTTGTTGTGAAATCAGGGAAGGCAAACCCATGTGCAAACTAGACATATCGGGCCACTTAGCCAATCAGAAAAAATATATGATCTGAAGTGTGGCCTTTTCCAGGAACAAAAACATTAGGAACCACAAGGTATGTTTCTTAATCAATTCATATATTTTCCTGGGAAATAACCATTCATCTTCGCCACACATTTGACATGTCTCCTACTAGTTGAGCTATTACTATTTATTCAATTTCACTGAACAATGTAAGGGAATAATGCTTAAAGACAATACCATGTGTTAATGTCTCAGTCATACCAACCTCAAAGCTATCTGTTTGGGCCTTTCACTATCCATCATGAACCTATGGAATCTAGAGTTTTTCATACACTACAACCATACAATGTGAAATCACATGGTCTGTGTCCTCATAATTTAGGGGTTCAAATTAATAGGTAGGCTTTCTTGTAAAGACATTAGTGGTTAGGAATTAGGATATCTCCATCTGTTCAAGATTTATTGAATCATCGAGTAAACAAGAACCCATCTACTGCAGATTGATTAAGGCATGTAGGGAATGCTGTGTAAAGACAAGCCATCTTCTTGTATTAATTTGATAAAACCAGTTGTTGACGTATCTTATCTTGGAAGGCTGGCAGGATTTCCACGTAGATATCTTTCAGCCACTTACTCAATCAACCTCCCAAGGGATCTATCTATATAAGCACTACTAAGTTTAGTATTCTCCTCAACTCATAATACCTTCTTCACACAACTCCTTAAAGAATCTATCTCCATTTAGTCTTCCACAGCTAAAAAACATTCAACCATGGCCATTAGTATGACAAGAATCCTCCGTGCTACTAAGCCCAGCCTCAGGAGGTCATCTTCAAGAACTCACAAAGAAAGTGAGGTTCCTAAGGGTCACTTTGCAGTTTATGTTGGTGAGGGTGAAAAGAAGCGGTTTGTCCTTCCGATATCATACTTGAATGACTCTTTATTCCAAGATTTGCTCAGTCAAGCAGAAGATGAATTCGGGTTCGATCATCCAATGGGAGGACTCACAATACCCTGTCCCGAGGCTACTTTCCTTGACATCATCTCTAGCTCGAATTGATTATCATCATAGAATACAGATAGAGATGGCATAGAGTAGTTTAGTGAACAATTCTTTTTGGGTATAAGAGTTACCTTGTACAGTTGATATTGAAAATAGAGAATATACTATAACTTCATTACCTTAGAAATTTTCCTGATATTTTATGTTACTCACAACACAGTTACCGAATTTAGTGCAGACAATAGACAGAACACTCTCTTATAATTCAAGTCTTGATGGAGGAATATATTTGTCAAAGAAAAACTTGATTAATACAACGTTTATATTATATAATAATGCTTTTTAATCCTTTCCCTTTTTCAAAGAAAATCTGTACATTTCAAAGTGTAATGCTATAAATATGAACTTGGGAGCTTATCTTTAATCACACATTGAGGGAACCTTTTGAATCATGGCCGTAGTCATTAGCAAACAGATGTTTTTGGAAAGGAATACTGTCCTAGTACACTTTTTTTTTACAGATTCTTGTCAGTTTTTTGGCTGTTGCGATTAATTTTAGTTTTTTATTACTCTAGTAAACTTCACAATTTAGTTACCATTTGGCTTTCATCTTTTCCTTTTTCTTTCACTGATAAACTGCAAACCTGAAATCTAATACAATTATGTTACACAAAATTTGACTTTCCAGATAAACAAATTACATTTTTGTTCATAGTAAATACGGAGTATGAGATTTCATTTCTAGGTCTAACCTGAAATCGGTCACACTAGTTCTAATTTCTGCCACATTAGATTAATTTCATTTATAAAGTAATTTAAAAGTGAGTTTGGGAAAACCAGTTAAACAGATCTTTCAATAATCCATTATTGTTATAATCAATTATAAAGAGAATCAGTTTCGATTTGGGAAAAGTTAGGTGAAAGTTGTTTTGAAGTAATTAGTTTTATTTAGGTGCACAGAAATAGCTTTTTCAAGATACAATAGATTGGTTAACAGCTAAACGAAAAAAGTATTTTGTTGAAAAATAAACATAAGCTACAAGTTTCCAGATACAAAACAACAACTTTTGTTTCAATAACATAAGTTGATTACAGATTTCAGGCAATACTCCCAAAGACAACTTTTTTCCGGAAATATTCTCATCATCATTTTCATTTGCCCTAGTGCCGCAAAGGCTCCCACCTACGGTGGGGTAAGGGGAGGTCGGATGTACGCAGTCTTACCCCTGTACCAAAGACAACTTGTTTCCGAAAATATTCTATAATGACATAATTTGAAAACGAGCTTATGTAATATGCTACGCAGAATATAACCTGTGTCCTCAACATGCTACAAATATCACATTTCATACCTATTTAACATTAAAACTATACCATGCAGGGAATGTTTAAAACTATATTTTTTTTTATTCTTCTTTTTTTTCTTTTATTGTTTTTTTTACTCCAGGGGGGGTCTGGGGGAGGGGAGCTGGGGGGAGCCTGGAGTAATCAGGGCTGAAACCCACTCCATTGAGTTTCACACCCTTGTGTGCCTAGCGGGATTCGAACTCGAGAACTCCCACTAGGCACGGTAACCTCACAACCAGCTGGGCTGGAATGCTTGGTTATGTTTAAAACTATATTTTTAACCTGTAGTTTAATGAGAAAAGATCAACTCCATTCCAGGCTGTCTTATGATCGGTTTGAAAGCAGGGATTTCCTCTTCCTATATGGTGGCCTGTTTTGCAGTATTTTATTGTGCAGTTTGAATAGCTGTGGCTGTTGGACGTGGTGAGTTTATGCTATACAGAACAAGTGGATGCAAGATTATGGGACTGTTTGCATTTTCTTAGAAACTGAAATTTAGAGTTCTGTGTAGATCACATAGAACTTATATTTTCATGCACATTGAGCCATATTTATATGCATCAACTGCTATGTATACACCGAGGACTAGTTGTATGATAAAAGATTCGTGGTTTCAGAACTTTTCAATGCTTAGTATATGGGGCTTACTAATGAAAGAGTGTATGCAATCTTGCAGTTGGGTTACAGCCCTCTCAGATGTGTGAACTGTTCGTAATTCCATATAGCCAGGCCATGTTTCAGATCAGGTTCTCTCTTCTAATCAAATAAGTTTGGGTTCATGAAGATTCTAGAAATGAATGTAAGTTATATTGTTATTCAGGGTGGGGGGGATTATATTTGTAAATGTTTTTTTGCTCAATTTCGAATATCACGTGAATCGGTTAAAAAAGAAGTACCGGGAACGTGAAAGATTGAACAAATTATATTTTTCTAAAATGGCTGACTTTCTGTAAATTTTACAAAATGTATTGAGCTACAATGACTAACTGACTACTGTAAATTGTCAGCAAACAAGGAAATGCTGATTTCTCCATTCTTCTTGTTGGTGTAGTGAATCTGAGGAACACCAATATGAAGTAACTGAGAGGAGCAATGCAGTTTCAAGTTCTCTGGTTAAGCCTTTGCTAAGAAGTGAGACAAATGTAGTCCATGAAGACACAGTCACATGGTAGTTTAAAGGGCCCATCACTCGGGTTCTTCAGACATGTTTGGGAGTTGCTTAATAATCTCATTCCCGAGATAAGAGAGAGGCACCATAAACAGCTTCTGATCAGCCGTGTAGAGGGAAAAATGACCCTTGCTAAATGCAAAGGAACTACTGCAGTAATCTATGTCATCATCGGTTAATTTTGGAAACAAAATCCTCTTTCTTCTGATTGCAGCAAATTTCTGCCATCTTTTTGCAAGCTTGATGAGATTCTTGGAACTAATCGTATTGTTTGTTAACTTAAGATATACTCCGTAGTCAGTTATTGAATGGAAGAGTAGCTTTAAATCTTGGCTGATGTGCCACCTACTGGTAAAGATTTGTGCATATTTCCTTTTGATGTAACTAGCTAAAGATTCCTGACATCCGTGGTTGAAAATTGTGTACACCCCTGTCAAGAGCATCCTTCATAGCACCCTTAGTTTCTGCATCATTATATTGTTCTAACATCATACTTGAAGGGCCCTCCCTTCAGAGATTTGCTGAGAATTAAATAATATGGGATTTGATCATCCAATCAGCCCTTGTTTTTGCATTCAAGCTGTATTTAGATCTCCATTAGCGATGAGCTAATTGCTCAATTGGGAATTTCTCCATTACTCAATCTGGATTTTCTCCATCAGCAACTACAGTTACGATAAAGCCCTAATGCTGCCAGACCTTAGAAATAGGATGGACCCTTCACACAATATATGTAGCATTTATGTACTCAGTCCATAGTGTTCCCTCCTATTGTTCTTGATTTCCACCACTATCTCCTTTCAACAGAAGCATCATGCTATCAAGAACCTATGTAAAAGTTAATATCTTTTCCCTAGTTTGCGATAACATGAGTTTTTATGAGCTCCTTGTGTCCCAAAAAGTAAAATGATACCCACCTGAAGATAAAAGTATACAATGCAGAAGTATACAACCCCTTGGTTATGATGTTTAAGACCCAATTAATCAGAAAAGTGCCTCCAGTTCTTTTGAGCAGTTTCACCAGACTTAAAATTAAGTGTGGCTAAAACGATAATGATTATGATCGGTGAGAGCCTATTTTTCACAGTTCCTTACCAAGTTCCTAGAAGAGCCGAAAGAATACCTTCAATTACCTAATGAATCTGTTTGTGAAAAGAAATCTGCCTTTACTCCTGCAATATTGTTCCTGACCACGCTTTCATCAAATTTGACTCTACACTCTACAGTGGCTGCCCAGTGAATTAATATATCACCATGAAGTCAGACCACATCTACATGGGATGGACTATCACTGATAGTGATCCAAAAGCTTGAATATTTAAACGTCTCCATGATGCCGAAAGCAACTAAGTTTTCTGCTTTCTTATGAACTATCCAAGTTTCTTGAGGGCAGCGCCTGAGCCAATAATATGGAAGAAGAAAGAGGAAGATTCTCTACTTTTCTTGAGCTTCTCTGCTTGATTCCCCCCACCCCCCAGTATAATTACAATCATTAAGCTTCATTAATCAGATGAACTTTCTGTCTTCATGGACTCTTCCAAGGGAAAGCAGTAATAGCTCTCTGAAATGACTTAGTAGCCCCCCAGCACTATTGAAATGCTAATAATATGAAGAAAAGCATTATGAAGATGGACAGCAGAATGAAGTAACTGAGACGAGCAATGCATTTTTTCTGAAAAACTCAACCAGATTGCGGAAGGAAGTGATCTATTTAACATTTTAGGAGGCTAGGAGAAGCTTTAATCAGTTGTGAAATCAGGGAAGGCAAAACCATGTGAAAAGTAGACATATGGGGCCTCTTAGCCAATCAGAAAATGTAGAAAATGTGACATATGTTTGTAATTTTTTATTTAATGTACGTGTGTAGTGTATTAGATAAGAATTAGAGAAGATAGACTGCTGATAGACTTCATTAATTGTTAGATAAGGACGTAGATAGATAGATCCTATTTTTTAGGATCTGAACATCAAAGCTGTTATCTGTACTCTGTATAAATACCTATGCCGGATGGCTCAATAATATTAAAAAGGGAGTTTATTCCTAGAAAACCTACATGGTATCAGAGCCTCGGTTTACACATTACGATGGTAGAAACCACAGATTCTGATTCATCCCATATGACAAACCCTAACTCCCAAATTAGCTCTATGGCAAATTACCAATCTCCTATTCATTCATCTATGATAATCACCAGTCATAGATTGAATGGAAAAAACTATTTGGAGTGGTCTCAATCTGTCAAGCTTGCAATTGATGGGAGGGGAAAGCTGGGGTACCTAACGGGAGAAGTCAAACCAAAACTTTCTGGTGAAGAAGGCTATAACACATGGAGATCAGAGAACTCACTTATCACTGCCTGGCTTCTCAGCTCCATGGAGGCCTCAATTGCCAAACCTCATATGTTTATGAAGACAGCAAAAGAGGTCTGGGATTCCCTAAAGGAAACTTACTCAGACCTTGAAAATTCTTCTCAAATCTTTGAGATAAAAACCATTCTTTGGCAGTCCAAACAAGGAGATAGAGATGTCACTACCTACTTCAATGAAATGGTGTCTCTATGGCAGGAGTTGGACCAATACAATGATGATGAATGGGAAAGTGCAAAAGATCTGGCCAAACACAAAAAAAGGGAAGAAAATGACAGGGTTTATATGTTCCTGGCAGGAGTTAATCAAAGTTTTGATGAAGTGAAGGGAAGGATTCTGGGAAAGAAGCCTTTACCTTCAATCCGAGAGGTGTTCTCTGAAATCAGAGTTGAAGAGAGCAGGAAAAGGATTATGAATAACACCCCAGGCCCTCAGAATGATACTGGAGACTCCTCAGCATTGGTGGTCAAGGGAGAAGAGAGGAAAAATCCATGGTGTGATTACTGCAAGAAGCTTTGGCACACAAGGGAGACTTGTTGGAAGATCCATGGGAAGCCACCTGGGGCAGGAAAAAAGAAGTTTGAAAAAGCTCTTAATACTACTATGGCTGAAACTCAACAAGAGCAGGAAGTCAATTCCAAACAGTTTCCTTTCACAAAGGAACAGATAGAGCACCTACTCCAGTTTCTTGCTACCCAAAAAATACCCAACCAAGAAACCCCTTCTTGTTCTTTTGCCCAAAATGGTAAAATTACTTCATATTTCTGTTCTGAAAAAACAAAAATCACCTGGGTCATTGACTCAGGTGCAACTGATCACATGACTTTTATTCCAAATCTCTATTCTTCATATACACCTTGTGCAGGGGATAAAAAAGTCAAAGTTGCAGATGGCTCTTTTTCAGCCATTGCAGGGATGGGAAATATCAATATTTCCTCATCCATTCACCTTTCTAAAGTCTTACATGTTCCAAAACTTTCCTGTAATCTTATTTCTATTAGCAAGTTAACCAAAGACCTTCAGTGTTGTGTCAGATTTTATCCCTCTTATTGCATTTTTCAGGATCTGGCATCGGGGAGGATGATTGGCAGTGCTAGAGAGGAAGATGGACTCTATGTTTTTGATGAAGGGACTGAATTAAATAAACAAAGCCAAGAAAAGGCTTGTCTGCAAACTATTTCTTTTCCTTGTAATAATGAAGTGTATTTGCTGCACTACAGATTAGGTCATCCTAGTTTTTATTATTTAAAAAAATTGTTTCCTCAGTTATTTCATAATAAAGATCCTTCATCATTTCATTGTGATATGTGTGCACTTGCTAAACATCATAAGAATTCTTATATTCCCCATTGTTACAAACCAACTAGTCCTTTTACTCTTGTGCATAGTGATATTTGGGGTGCATCTAGAGTTTCTACTTTGAAAGGAAAGAGATGGTTTGTAACCATTATAGATGATCACACACGGGTAACATGGGTCTTCTTGATTAAAGAAAAATCTGAAGTTGAAGATGTGTTTAAAAAATTTTACTCAATGGTTCAGACTCAATTCAATACCCATATTAAAATGGTAAGAAGTGACAATGGCCGTGAGTATTTTTCTCAAAACTTGAACAATTTTTTTGCTGAAAAAGGGATTGTACACCAAAGTTCTTGCACTAATACACCTGCTCAGAATGGCATAGCTGAGAGGAAAAATAGGCATTTACTTGAGGTCACTCGTGCACTTATGTTTTCAACTAGAGTTCCAAAATATTTATGGGGAGATGCTGTTTTACATGCTACCTATTTAATTAATAGGATGCCATAAAAAACTTTAGGGTTTAAAACCCCTATTGATACACTTCAAAAATGTTTTCCTACAACTAGACTGATCAGCTCTCTTCCCTTAAAAATATTTGGCTGCACAGTGTTTGTTAACAATCCTGACAGAACAGCAAGCAAATTTGACCCTAGGGGTACAAAATGTGTTTTTCTAGGACTGTCTTCAACTCAGAAAGGTTATAAGTGTTTTGATCCTACAACAAAAAAGATGTTTGTTACTATGAACACTAGTTTTGTTGAAAATCAACCTTTTTTTAACACTCATCTTCAGGGGGAGAATTCTAGTGAAGATGAGAACAGTGCACAGCATATTCATGAAAATCTTGAGTTCCTTGACATTGATCTAGATGCATATCATAATAGAAACTTAGATACATCAGAAAATAGTCAAGAACTAGAAGAAAACGGAATAAATATAACTGAAACAAGGAAAGAAGATGAACAGCAGACAAGCAGATTTTTTGGCAAGGTTTATGAAAGGAGAGTTCAAAATCAAAGAATAGAGGACATCTCTGATCCTGTAACTGCCCATGAATCTGACTCAATGTCAGCAAATGAGAAAGGTAATAATTTCAGTGATCTAAATTTACCAATTGCTCTCAGAAAAGAGAAAAGGTCATGTGTCAGATATCCTATCTCAAACTATGTGTCTCTTTCCCAGTTATCCTTATCATTTGCAGCCTTTACCACTAGTCTTTCTTCTATTGCAATTCCCTTAACCATACAGGAAGCTCTATCTAAACCTGAGTGGAAGAAAGCAGTTTTGGAAGAGATGAATGCTCTTGAAAGGAATCAGACATGGCAGATGGTAGAGTTACCCAAGAACAAACCTACTGTAGGTTGTAAATGGGTTTTTACTCCTAAATTCAAGGCAGATGGAACACTTGAAAGGTATAAGGCCAGGTTAGTTGCCAAAGGGTATACACAAACCTATGGCATAGACTATACTGATACTTTTGCCCCAGTTGCAAAGCTAAACACTATAAGGATTCTCTTATCTTTAGCTGCTAATCTAGACTGGCCACTACAGCAGTTAGATGTAAAGAATGCCTTCTTAAATGGTAAGCTTGAAGAAGAAGTATACATGTGTCCTCCTCCTGAGTTTGAGGGCAAGTTTGGCTCCAAGGTGTGCAGATTGGAGAAAGCCTTGTATGGGCTTAAACAATCCCCAAGAGCTTGGTTTGAGAGGTTCACCCAGTTCATAAAGAGACAAGGATTTCAGCAAGCTCAAGCTGATCATACTCTCTTTATGAAATTTTCAAGAAAGGGGGAGATTGCAGTATTAATTGTGTATGTTGATGATATCATTCTTACAGGTGATTATTATGAAGAAACTGCAAGTCTGAATGAGAAACTAGCTAAGGAATTTGAAATCAAAGATCTGGGAGAACTGAGGTACTTTCTTGGCATGGAAATAGCTAGATCAAAAAAGGGAATTGTGGTATCACAGAGGAAGTATGTACTAGACCTTCTACAAGAAACAGGTATGAGTGCATGCAAACCAAGAGATACCCCAATTGATCCTAATCAAAAGCTGGGAGATGTCAAAGAGGGAGTTCCAGTTAATGTTCAACAGTATCAAAGATTGGTGGGAAGATTGATTTATTTGGCACATACAAGGCCAGACATTGCTTTTGCAGTTAGTTTGGTTAGCCAGTTTATGCACAATCCATTCCAGGAACATCTTGATGCAACTTACAGAATTCTAAGGTATTTGAAAAGCTGT